TCACTCACACAACTATAAACAATCTGCAAGGTCGTCAACAGGAAAGAGATATGCCCACTGTGTGCCGATGGAACACTCAGTAATGACACAGAAAGATCTCGGAGTCCCGGAGTGCCAACCATGGGACAGCACAGATGGGATTACAGTCCCGTGAGGAACCAGACAAGGGAAAGAACTGGGAGGAAACACAGCAAACTCCCTAACGGCATTCAGGAGTGATGCTCCCCACCCCCGAAATCTCAACACTGTGTTGTTACTTCCATTAGATATTAGAAAAACAGCAATAACTTCAGCAGGGCCCTGAGGACACTGGGCGGACAAGGAGAGAGGAACAGAAAGGGACAGGAAGGCCAGAGGTGTGCAGAAAGATCCAGAAGAGGCCAGAAAGATGTGTGTGGTGTCATGGAGATCAAGCAAGGGAATGTGAGTGGATCCATGTGTCCTGGGACACCTACCTCTGATTCCACCTGTACTCACAAGTAAACCAGATGCCAAGAAGACACTAAAATCTCCCCCATTCCGTTCTTCACTCAGGAGTCTGGGAAAGTGGCCCCACCCTAACCAGTGTGGAGCCCAGGAGTGGCATCTACAATACAAACCAAGCTACCAGGCGGTGGTGGCAAAAACTAACCCAGCACTTGGGGGCAGAGGCAAGAGAACCTCTGAGTTCAGAGGCCAACCGGTCCACAGTGTGAGTTCTAGGACGGTCTGGGCTACACAGAGAAATCCTGTCTCAAAACAAAAACAAACAAACAAGAAAACCAAACAAACAAACAAAAAATCTCCCAGGTGAACTGCCACACCCAGCTGCCCATGTCCACCCCAGGCAAACAGGGCTGGCCTCACGGAAAGGGCCGTTGTTGAACGTGCTAATATCTCTGGGATGCTCATGCTATCTGTGTTTCCCTGGGAGCCTCCAGCACCACACAAACACACTTCTTGGCCCATCCCTCAGCCTCATTGAGACATAAGGCTCCGCCCTTGATGCACGCTACATAACATGCCCAGAGTGACCTCCTCATTGCACACACTCATGAATCCACGCACCAGTGCCAGCCTCCTTTCTTCTTCTGAGTTTGCTCCTACCTCATTACCCACACCCTTCCAGCTGGCAGACCTCAGCCCAGAGCAAGGCCCTCCAGCACATCCTGCCTGAGGTCAGTGTCCCACCGCCGTTTCCCACTACATGTGAGACGGACAGTGGCAGGCCCAGAGGTGGTGGGAGGTTGGGCTAGAGTCCAACCCCGAGTCACGCTCTGAAGGCCAACGACTTCTGCTGCCACCTTTGACCCTCAGTCTAGTGAGTCAAGACGACTCTGGGCTGAGTCACTCCCAGATGTCCCCCATTAAGCCCATTTAAGACAACTGACATTGAGTACTGAGTGCCACAGCCTGAACGTGAAGGTCATCCTCCAGGCCAGCCTGTGGGAAGTAAGCCTAGCTGGGCCAAGTCAAGGCCAACACCAACTAGGCTACCCATCTGCCAGCAGGAAGCTCAGTGTCATCACTTTGCTGGGCTTTCAAGGCAGCTGAGAAATCCTCAAGTGAGGTCCTTGGGGACCTAAAACTGCGACTCAAACATTAGCCCCGACACATGCCTCCCCACATCAGCCACCATCAACACAAGGCAATGATCTTCTCTCCCTGCTCTTTGACGGGGATAAGCATCATCTAAGCCCAGCCTTGGGGCACCACAGGTCCTGCAGCCGAGGACTGCTCCCCAGTCTAGGCTTTCTCCTCTCCTTGACTTTGACAGGAGAGACACCAGAGAAAGGCATTTGGAGCTGCCATCTTGTCAGCCTTGATGACAACCCTGACAGGTGTTGCTATTATTCCTGTATTATAAATGTGGAAACTGTAACCATGCCATCCTCCCCAGATCACCCAGGACAGCTGAGCCCCAGGGATCATCTTCACACTGTCCCTACTGCTCCAACAAGTTCTGCTCTGTACACTGCCCAGCCAGCCCACAGAAGAAGTAGGGTGTCCATCATTCAGTAATCCTTAGCTTAGTAGCCAAAGACTGGGTCTAGCTGGAAGGAATGGGGGCAAGAACAGCTGTGGGGTTTGGGGGTGTCCAGGAGAGACTTCAGAGACACAACTTCCTTAGGGGGGAAGACAAAATAATGCTACAGTCTCGTTCATTCATTCATACAGTCTCACCCAAACATCATTCACTCATTCATTCATATTGTTGTGCTAGGGATCAAGTTCAAGGCTTGAACTCTACCACTGATTTACAACCCCAACCCCTGGAGTTCTGAGACTGGGCCTCACTATGAAGCCCAGGTTAGGCCTTGACATTGTCCTTTTGCCTCTAGCATCCCCAGTGCTGGGATGACAGGCACATGCCACTATACCTAGCTTTACATTCTGACCTGCATCTCACCAATAAACCAGAACCAATAAAACAGAATATGACCAGAGCCGTGAAACAGGTCAGATGAAGGCCAAGGCAAGTCGGAGTGGAGAGGACCCGAGCTGCTTGGCTAGGACAGTCGGAGCTGGAAGCACCAGGGGTTTTTATCCCAGTTATTTCATTTTTACAGGAGGGGAAAAGAGACCCAGGGAGGAGACAGGACCTTCTGAATGCCAAGAATAAGTGTATGGAAACATCAGGGTTAGGATGCAGGTCCACTGACTGTTGGGTTAGATTCCCTGGCATCAGATGAGAGATGCTTCCTGGGGAAAATGAACACGAGCAGGAACAAGGGGAGCACAGACAGCCACACAGCGCTTCCATGGGGACCCCAGCCCCACTCTGTGCAAGGTGTGGGTAGGAGGGAGGCTCTTCCATTCACCAATGCTCAAACTCCACTAGCAGCCAATCAGGGCTCTAAAGGAGGAAGGAACTTTGGTTGCCTGGGCAACACAGACAAAAGCCTCTCCTCCACACCAGGAGCAGCTGGAGTAGGATTCCACCCAAGCAGACAGGGTGCTCCTTTCCTGGCCTTAGGAGCAGAACAGACCAGTCCTGAACTCCAGTTGTGCCTCCGGATCCATATCCTGAGGGGAGGTGGGAGCAGATGGTCCTAAGAACAGTGCTGAGTCCTCTGCAGTCTTCCAGGGTCCACTGATGACTAGATTGTGCCTTAAAATGAGCCTGGGCCTGGGGCTGTCATGTTATCACCTAAGCATTCTTCCCCAGGCACCTCCAATGCTGACTCCCACCTGGACATGTGCTAACTCCACCCCCTTTCTCTCGTGCCCCCACCCTGACCCCAGTGGTCCTTGAGGGGAAACTGAAACATCTGTGACCTATACTGGCTAGCCCACATTCATCAAGAAGCAAAGAAAACCAAGTGGTTAGCCAGATGTGGTGGTGCACACCTTTAATCCCAGCACTTGGGAGGCAGAGGCAGGAGGATCTCCCTGAGTTCAAGACCAGCCTGGTCTATAACGTGAGTTCCAGGACAGCCAGAGCTGTTATATAGAGAAATCCTGTTTTGGGGGGCGGGGAAGGGGGGAGCCAGATGGTGGTGGTACATGTTGTCTTTAGTCCCAGCATAAGCCAGTGAATCTCTAAGTTCAGAGGCCAGCCTGGTTTACAAAGTGAGTTCCAGGACACCAAAGTTACACAGAGAAACCCTGTCTCAAAAAACAAACAAGCAAAACAAGAAAAGCCAAAGGGAGTGGGCAGCCTGCCTCACACACCTTTGAAAAGTTGCCCAGTCCCATCTAGAGCCCTGGAATACACAGAGCATTCTGCTAAGTGGGATTGCCTCTACACACTTTGAAGAAAACTGATGGGCTCTGAAAACAGCTTCCAAATGGAGCCCCAGCATTGCTACCTACAAGCCAAATGGCCATTCCTCCCCTTGCCAAGTCCCTAGGTCACGTATAGTATCTCCACAGAGGACTCTTGACTCAGAGGAGAAATCCATCGCTCTGGGATTTTGGAAGGGTTTTCCACACCAGAAGCCAGAACAAAGCCAAGTAGGACAGCCCACACCTGTGATATGAACCTGGGAGGTACAGACTTCAGATGAGGCGTTCAAGGCCACCTTGGCTTCCCAGAAAGTTCAAGACCAACCCAGGCCACCTAAGACCATGTCTCAAAAACCAAATAGGAGGGCCAGAGAGATGGCCCAGAGGTTAAGGGCACCAGATGCTATTCCAGAGGAGCTGGGTTTGATCCCAGTAACCATATGGTAGCTTACAACTCTAGTTTCAGGGGATCCAATGCCCTCTTCTGGCGCACAGACATACATACAAGCAAAACAATCATACACATACAGTAATACATTTTAAATAAAAACAATGGGGTGGAGAGATGGCTCAGTGGTTGGAAGCATCCATTGCTCTTGCAGAGGACCTGGGTTCTGTTCCCAGCACCCACATGATGACGACTCACAACTCTCCATGACTCCAGTTCTAGGAGATCTGATGCCCTCTACTGACCTCTGTGGGTACCAGGGATAAATGTGGGGAATGTACATGCATAGAGGCAAAACATTCCTACCCACAACATAAATAAATAAATATTTAAAAAAAACATTAACTACAAAAAGAGTCCAAACAACAGGGTTTCTCATGGAACACCTCACTAGCCAGGAAAGTTAAGACCCACAAGCCTGCCCAGACTCTGCTCGCCACAATCCCCTCAGCCAGCCACTGGAAGCCCTACAGCTCCCCACACGCAGGTTCTTTCTCCTCCCTTCTCCACATAGCCACCCCCTCACACACTCCTTAAACGGTCTCTTCTCCACTTCCATTGCCTGAGGAGCCCAGGACCAACAGCCTGCCTCCCACGGGCTCCACCTCACTCAGATCCTCAACCTGGCCCCGCCAGTCCACCTCGCCATCTTCCACCCGAGAGCTGCTGGCATCATCCCCAACCTAAGCCCGGCAGGCTCTCCCTGGAAGCCTCGGCTCCTGGCCCAGGGCACATGGGCGTGGGACACTGGCCGCCTGCGATCACACTTGACTTCTCCACTCCCAGCACGTCTGCCAGCTCAGGCCACTCTAGCACCCAGTCCCGTTGGAGGCCCGTCACTTACTGTGTCCTTTGCACCTGTGGTTACCTCTGTCCTGGCTGGTCTTAGGTCAACTTGACACAAGCTGGAACCGTCTGAAAGAAGGGAACCTCAACTGAGAAAATGCCTCCCTGAGATCCAGCTGAAGGGCACTTTCTTAGTGACTGACGGGGGAGGGCCCAGCCCATGGTGGGTGGTACCATCCCTGGAATGGCAGTCCCGGCTTCTGTAAGAAAGCAGGCTGAGCAAACCATGGAAAACAAGCCAGGAAGCAGCATCCTCCGTGGCCTCTGCATCAGGCCCTGCCTCCAGGTTCCCGCCCTCACTGCTTCTGATGATGAACTACTAGAGAGAACTGTGAGTGAAATAAACCCCATCCTCCCCAAGGCGCTTTTGGCCATGCTGTTTCATCACAGCAATAGTAGCCCTAACTAAGACTGCCGGGCGGTGGGGGTGCACATCTTTAATTCCAGCACTCGGGAGGCAGAGGCAGGCAGATCTCTGTGAGTTCGAGACCAAGCCTGGTCTACCGAGCGAGTTCCAGGACAGGCTCCTAAACAATACAGAGAAACCCTGTCTCGAAAAAAAAAAAAAAAAAAAAAGACACTCTGTTATTGGAGGGCCCTCTTTGAATGGGCTGCTGCTGAGCAAAAGACCCCAGTTTGCCCCAACTGAGCACAGGAGATGGTGCGTCTCTGCTCAGCCACACCTACCTCTCTAACTCTTGCCCAGACCCTAGGAGGCACACACTGACATCAGCCTGTTTACAGATGAAGAACCAATCTGGAGATGTGGGCAAACCCAGCAGAAGCCACACAGGCCATCTTGGGGAGAGAGATAAATCGAAGCATTTAAGCTCTCAGGCTGCCCTGTTCTCTGCCCCCAAGAATACTGCAGTAGCTAAAGGGCTCAGAAAGTATAGCATGTGCCCCGCTGAGTCCTCCTGGGCTGGCAAAGCCACATCAACGAGGGTCCAGCCTGTTCCTCTCTAGATTTGCCCTTATCCAGCCCACACCACAAGATAGCATGGACCTTCTTCTAAAAAAGAGTGGCTGTAGCCAGGCTTTCAAGAGAACTGTGCAGTTACCTTCATGACCAACAATGATCTATCTTCCTTCCTTCATTCCTTCCTCCCTCCCTCTCTCCCTCCCTTCAGACTTATCTCTTTTTAGCTGGGTGGTGGTGGTGCACACCTTTAGTCCCAGCACTTGGGAGGCAGAGACGGGTGGATCTCTGTGTTCGAGGCTGCAGAGCAAGTCTCGGTCTATAGAATGAGTTCCAAGTCAGCCAGGGTTATATAGAGAAACCCTGACTCAAAAACAAAAAACAAACAAAAAGATTTATCCCTTTTTATTTTGCATGCATGAGTATTGTGCGGGGATGTATGCCCTGGTGCCCACAGAGGTTAGAAGAAGGCACTGGATTCCTGGAACTGGAATTATAGACAGTTATGAGTGCCATATGGATGCTGGGAACTAAACCCAGGTCCTCTGGAAGAGCAGCCAGTACTCTTGACTGCTGAGCATCTCTCCAGTCTCATCAGCGATGATTTCTGGGCACTGCCCTTCAGATAAACTAAACCACAGCTGGGCATCAGGGACTACGAGGCTCCAGACCAGCTCAGCTTTCCAATTTCAGTTGCTGCTGCACCCTCACCCCATGCACAAGTGGGTATTAACTTACTGCCATGTTAATTCCCTCTAAAAGCCACCATTTACCAAGCACCTACTAAGAGCAAGAGCGATGCTGTAGGCCCAGGCACCCACCAGCAGTCTCTCGCTCCCTCCGTCAAAAACTTACTGACTGCCTATCTTGTGTTGTACAGCATAGAATAAAGAACAGACATGAACTATTAAAAAAGCAAAAACACACAAACTGAGATTGAGATGTGGAGATAAACTGGGCATAGTGGCTTTTGTCTGTAGCCCCAAATTTGGGCAGAAGAGTCATGATTTCAAGGCTAACCTGAGCTACACAGCAAGATCTTATCTCAAAAACTGGGCAGGGGCAGCAAGAGAAAGCAGTTGTGGGAAAAGTGGGATGGAGGAACTGAATAAACTGAGGCATAAAAGGTAAGGGCCAAAGCTATAAAGAGCCAGAGGAAGCAGCCAGGTGCTTTAATCCCAGCCCTCGGGAGGCAGAGATGGTGGATCTCTGAGTTCAAGGCCAGCCTGGTCTACAGAGTGAGTTCCAGGACAGCCAGGGCTACACAGGAGAGCTCTGTCTCAAAAAAATAAAAAAAGAGCCTAAGTGATGGGAACAACCTACATAAAGGTCCTGAGGTGAGAATTTGCTGAATGAAGGAAGAGAAAACTCCTGTGGCCCAACTAAGTGACCCAGGGGGAGAAACAAGATGGGGGCATGGGGCTCCCTTTCCTCAGGGCCTTCATGGGAAGTTTAGATTCTTATTTTTTGTCCAAGATAAGGTTTCTTTGTGAAGCACTGGTTGCCCTGGAATTTACTCTGTAAACCAGGTCGGACACAAACCTAGAGGCCCCCACCCAATCCAAGTGCTGGGATTAAAGGCATGTGCCACCAGGGCTGGCTGGGAAGTTAAATTCTATTCTAAGAAAAAAAGAGAGTGAAGTGGCTTGTGTGCTATGAAGCTCTCCCCCAGCGGCCACCTGGACAGGAGTCAGTATACAATGCATGCAAAGTAGGCGATACCAGAGGAGATGCTAGGTAAGCGCGCTCCCGTTCCCTCCTGTCTACCAGCCTCTTCATCCCAGGCCGGGAATAGCCTCTTCTAATTCCCATTCCTTCCTCCAACCTATATGTTGTAAAAATCTAAATTTGCTGAGGACAGGAAAGGCAATCTGCATACTCTTGTTAGAGTTCAGCACACAGTGGGGCTGCAGCAGCGCTGGGCTGTTCCTCCCTCCCTGTGAACTGGCCACTGAGCTGACTGTGGATCAGGAGGGAGAGGAGCCAGCAAGCTCAGGCACTTCCCTCTGCCTTCTCATTCTCTATCCCATTCTCCATCAGGCATCCGTGGAGACTGTCAGAAAGCCTGGCTCTTGGTCATTGTGAGCTGGGTATTCGGGTAGCATAGGGAAAGCTCCCCTCACCCCTGAACTCAGAGGGCCATAGTACGGAAAGAAGCTATTTCCCAAAGACATTAGATACTCACTGGGACGTTAGCTGATCCTATCAATATCTGCAGGAAGCAACTGAGAGGTGAAGCCTTTGTTTTCCCGTTCGGAACCTAGAACCATCAATATCGCAGTTTGTCCAAGAATGGCAAAGCTCTATTAGAACAGCGGAGTGTGGTTGGAGACCACTGAGGCCCAAGCCACACAGATAAAGAGACTGGTCTCCAAGAAAGGACTAGACTTACCCACAGTGACAGGCTGAGGAAGTCTCCAGCCCAGGTGGGAAAGATAGCCCAGGGAAGGCTGGGATTTGGGGGTGGGGGTCAAGGGCAGGGCAGCACTGCTTCTTCTGGCCTGGCCTGCCCCAGCTCCAGCCCTCCCACTGCTCAGGGGTGTGGTGAAACCTGCCAAACCAGTCCCGGTGCCAGGGCCAAATGACAGCGCCCAGAGCCGTAGGAGCAGGCAAGGCAGCAGACAGCAGGAGTCTGGGACCGGAAGGACTCAAGAGGCTCCACCCGACCTGTCAGCCCAGGCCAGAGGTCCTCGCACTGCCTGGGGACAGGGTAGGTGCTCCCTGCCGAGCCTTCTGTCACTGGAATGCTGTGTGTCAGGACTAACCAGGACCGTCCCCCACGTCTCTCCCCTCCTGCTCGGGACAGTCAACCTTCTGTCTAGCTGTGTCACTTGAGCAAGAAACCAAGGCTTATCTGAGAAATAAGACAGAAGGCAGGGAGGTGGTAAAATGACAGAGATCACCCTCAGGTCCTGTGGACCAAGATGCACGCTCTAGACAGAAAAGACTTGGTTAAAAGGCTGGGATCCTGTGAGCCGTGACACAGAGGCCACGTATGTGTCTCACAGATGCAAAGGACTATCTCCTATCTCAGTCCAAACCCCCATGAGGACAATGGGGAGAAGACCAGAGACAAGCATAGACTGTTAGCCTACGGTCGCACAGCAAGACCATGGCAGAGATGGAAGCAGGGGTGAGACCGACTTCCCAGAACACAGCAGCTTCCACAGGAGAGTCATTTTCCCAAATTCAATACCACACCTCACCCCAAGAAACCAAGAGACCCCTTTATTACTATCCCCCAGGAACTCCAGAGACTAATAGAACACTCTGTGTATTTTACCAACCAGGTACTGCCAGTCCCTGAGAGCTGCTATACAAAAATACCACCAACAGCTGGCTTTGTTCCTCACGCTTCCAAAGGCTAGAATGTCAAGGTAGCAGCAGATGTAGTGTCTGGTAAGGACTCCACTTTCTGGTACACAGCTGGCACCTTCCAGCATGTCCCCGCATGACAGAAGGACAACCCAGATCTCCGGGATCTTTCATAAGAGCAGACATGCCATTCACAAGGGAGGAACCTTCACCCCAAAGGCCCCGCCCTAAAACCAGCACCCAGAGCTATGTGCCAGCGTTTGACTCCTGGGGACATAAATACAGACGGTGTTTACTCACAGCACTGACTTTCTGCACTCCAGCATACAGGACACTGGTGTGTGGTAAGAACTCAATGAATGTGCTACTAAGTCAAAGCTCAGTGAAGTAGCAGACTGGGTCCTTTTCTAGGCGCAACCACCAGGGCTGGGAATGGGAAAACAGAAAACAGGCAAGAAAAGGAAAATCTGAATCTAGGTGTGGAGGGTTATGGAAGAAACAAAGATACTATGGGCTCAGAGCTCCCACCCAAAGGCTGGGAGGCAGTTGTCCCAGTCACACTGAACGTATGGACTATAGGCCTGTGTACTTCTGTTACCTGATGCTCACTCACTCTCCATCATTCACAAAGTAAACTCAGGGCAAATCACCCCACCCTTCCCCACTGGAGCCCCAGAGGTAGGACCCCCAGCTGAAACCATGAGGGACCACTTGCCTGATAAACGTCAGTGCAATGGAGATGCTGCCGCCTCCCGTGAAGGGCGTGTACAGCGATGGATAGGTACATGACCTGTGAACATGTGCCAAACCATGAAATTACCAACAATAACACAAT